AACACTAACTGGTCCCAAGGTACCATATGGTCAACAATTTGCACAGTGTGCTAAAATGAATAACCTTGAATTTTCATCTCACGTTCTAAGTTATGCAGCAACCACATTGCTGTGTCAGTGCCAGAAACCTGCATATGACCAGAATAAAAGGTCTTGCTCTACACTGACCTAAGAATTCCTGGGTTTGGACGAGCAAAGAAACAAACTTTTCTGTCAGACCCAATGTTTCTTCCCCTTCAGAAGTCTCTTTAAAATCAGTTAAGAGTTTGGCTTTCTCACTTAATGCAGAAGATATTCAGGACACATTCTAAAACTTCCACCTGGATAGCTATAACTTGCCCTCTATTCTTCTTTTTTTATTTGTTTCAGTATGAAAGTACTATGTATTCTATTCATCTCTATAGATCTCTATCTGCTATTGCTCTATTATCTTCTGTTTTATCTATCTAGCTCATATGCATATATAAAGTCTGTCTACATCAGTATGAAAGTACTTTTAATTTCTTTACTGCAGGTACAATGACATCCAAGTCATCATTTTTTAAGATTTCAAATAGATTATTAGTAAATTGGTAGTTACTGATGTCACTTCACAGTAGCCAGGAAACAGGGCCCATCTGAAAATACGACCAATCTTTCAACCCTCAAGAACTACTTTCCAAAAGCCCATAAATAGTTACAAAATACTATTTACCTGGCTTTCTGTCTAACACAAAAATGTTTCAGTGCTGTTAAGAATACTTCTATGAGTTCATTAATTTTGTATATGTCTGATCTATTGATTTCTAAACATAATGTGAAAATCTACTATGGTTACGAACGTTTCATCTTTTATTTCCATAACTTTCTCTTCGCTAACACAACTTGAACTGGGTGTGGGGGCACATGTCTGCAATCCCAGCACTGAGGAGGTTGAGGCGAAAGGATCTCAAGTTCAAGGCTGCCTGGGCTACAGAGTGAGATCAAGTTTAGTCTAGATCGCTCTTTATCAAAAAGGCAAAACCAAACCAAATCAAACAAAAACGATAGGACCCTTTGAGCATCCCTCAGCTAAAATGCTCCATAGTCAAAACCGAGCGCCATGCCAACGCACAGCAGGACATTGCACACTCGGCAGCACCAGATGCAGCACAAAGTGTAGGCCACTGAAAACGGGGTGCACATGGCCCCACGTGCCCTGTGTGTGGAAAGCAGAACTCCACGTTCAGTCCCTGGTGCCACACTCCTGCACATCCCCAGGTCCGGCAAAGCCCTGGTCCCAGCATCCTGGATACGGGGCTGTGAGAAGGATGTTGCCCCAGGGCACAGCACTTGGCACACACCATCTTTGGTGTGTGGTGGGTGTGTTCTTCAGAGCTGCATCGTGTTTGTGTTTCTAAGGAGACCTTGTTTGTCCGGCTGCTTCTCCTGCTCCCTACCTGCTCTGGCTGGGCCTGCTGTTTCCTCCCTGGGCCTACTGAAATTTTCTGGCTTGGAATATAACTTCCAAGTATAATGAACAATACCTACCTGTCTGCTTAATAGTGATTAAGGTGATAATTTTATGTTATACACATTTTACGGTTAAAATTACCACTTTAAAAAGTTTTTCTAATGTAACAACTTTCACTCTGTGAAAGATCTTGTTGAGAGAATGAAAAGATAAGCTACAGTGTGGGAGAAAATATTTGTAAATCATATATCTGGCAAATGACCAGTCTCCAGAATATATGCAGAACTCTACATTCAATAGAAGTAATGGGCCAAAGACTTGAACAGGTACCTCCTTCCTTATGAAGGCCTAGTAACAGCAAGAGAAGCTGCAATATGACACTATCATTGCCTTGTTGCACATGTATCCCAGAGGACTGAAGATCACTGTCCCACAGAAACTGGGGCATGAACATTGCAGCAGCTTCGTGTGGGGGGAGAAAAAAAAGGAATGATCTGGCGTCCTTTGGAGAGTAAAGGGTTCGAGTAACTGTGGTACATTCATCTGTACCATACATCTCTCCTGTCAGGTTCCATCTCTGGGACCAAATACCTGAGAAAAACAATTTAAGGAAGATATTTCATTTTGGTTCGTGATTCAGAGATTTCAGTCCATGGTCACTGGTTCCAGTGCTGTGGGCCTGAGGTGAGAAGTAACGTCATGGTGGAAAGACATGGAGAAGGAAAGCTGCTCAACTCAAGGCAGCTGGGAATCAGAGAGAAGGGAGGAGCCAGGGGCAAGGACCAAGGGCCAGACAGACTCCCCCAGGTCACTTCTCCATGGTCCACTGCTTTCAACGAGACCCCATCTCCTGTTTCTGTCGACTCCCAGGAATGCCATCAAATTATGGTTTCATCGAACCCTCGCGATCCACTTCCCAGAAGCCGATCAACAACTAAGTCTTCAACACAATGAGCCTTTTGGGGAACAGTTTGGCAATAAGAGTTCCTCAGGAGTAAAAGGGGAACCAGCTGTTGTCACAGGCAATAGCCTTCATGAGCTTCCAGAGATTTATGCTGATGAAAAGAAGCCACTCTCCAAAGGTGACACGTTAGATCATTTCATGTATAGAACATTCTTAAAATAAAAAAATTATGCAGATGAAGAAGAGACACTGTTAAGGAGTGTTCACAGTGGAAAGGAAGTGGGTGGAGGTCCTGTAGTTCGAGGTCTCCATGCCAGTGCGCTGGTCTTCAGATTGTCCCACAGCTGTCTGAAAAGTCTGTGTGGAGTACAGACCAGGGTGGCGCACACAGTGCACCTTTGTGCGCGGAGTGTTTTAAGCTGTGGGAAGTTGAGCAGGTTACTCTGCCCTTGTCCCACCTTACTCTCTTCCACCTACTGCCCTGAGAGCAGGTCCTAAGACACTCACTCCTCAGGGCTCTCGCCCTACATCCAGAGGCAAGAAGAGAGCGGCAGATGGATGCGCTAAGTGTGGGTACTGGCTGTTTCTGGACTACTTAGGGCTCAGTCCAAAGGGCTTACCTGAGAACTGCTCCACAGTGACGGGGTTCAAATTAAGGTTTCAACACAGAGCCTTTTGCTGGTTTCATGTGTAGCTCTTAACTGACTGACTTCTCTGATCTCATTCACCCTCTAGCTTCTGGCCTTTCTAATTAAGTTGAAGATATCTCAGCGTTTTTCTTTTGACACAGTTGAGAGCCCTCATCAGAGGCTGAGCCCATGGGGTCACCCAATCCTAGACTTTCACCCCCCCTCAAACTCTGAGCTCGATAACCCTCTTTTCTTTACATATTACTCAACTTCTGGTATTTTGTTATAGCAATGGGAAAAGGTCTCATGAAGTACCTGTGCACTCATGAAATCACGAAGTTGATGAGCATTCAGTGGACAGAGAAGTACAGGCAGTGGGCGGGGGAGGGTACGGGCGGGGAGTTCATTAGCTCGGTTTTAGAGAAATTCGGTTTTCAGCTCAAAGTATCCTGGGTGCAAGGGTAGGTGTTCATATTCAGACCTGGTAGCCTGGAGCTGGTAACATCAAAGCATGCGGCAGTCACTGGGCTCCTGAGACTGGCTGCTGACCAAGAGCACATCTGTGTGTCCAGCCGAAGCTCCCAGATACAAAGCTGGGACAGGACAGGAGGAGCTTCTCTGGCCCAGGAGCCACAGGCCGCGGGCTAGAAGCATGCGGGAAAAACCAGCCATGGGACCGGGCTCATCTGGGTCATCTCAAAGGGCCAGTGCGGGGAGAAGATGCGTCTGTCTTGGATGTTGGCGTGAAGAAGGGACGTTGCGGTAACTGGGTGTCTCGGTACCTGTGACGGCCGAAGAGTGGCCAGGGAGTGACAGACAGCTGCTAACCAAGAAGGGGGATGTGTTTGGCCCTATTCTGCCTGTGCTGAGACAAAGCGGGGGACCTGGCTCTGTCTCCCGGGGTCCTCGCCTAAGCGGACTCGGTATTCTGCCCCCAAGAGGAGGACCTCCCTGCCAGCTTGCAGTGCCACCCGCTGCGCCTCTGCTGTGGTCCGGAGGTTGAGTGCCCCCAGGAGGCCACATACGGAGAGCACGGTCCCTAGGGTGCTGCTGCTGGCAGGAGCTAGAGCCTCCGAGACGGGGCCCGTGGCCCTTAGGCCGTCCAGCTGTTCGCCCCTTGGCTGATGCCGTGCGTCCTGCCGCTGTGCTCTCTCACCCCCGGCCAAACAGCGACGGGCCAGCAAGGACTGAGCCTTTCAAACTCCTCAGCCAAAAGAAATCTTTACTCCTTTAATTATTGCAGGCATTTTGTTACGTAACAGGAAGCGAATACACCTGCTGGGTCCACTTTCATCCCGCCAGGGGCGGGCAGAGGCGGCCAGCGGCGGGGAGAAAGAGTATGAAGCAGCCTTGTCCGGAGCCAAGACCACAGCCTGACCACAGCTGCCACTCTGTTCCAGCGGCTCGCGGTGCCAGGGCCACCAGCACGGGCGCCCCGGAGCCGCCGACCACGGCCG